TGAGTGAGGGGGGTGGTAAAAGCATAAATTTGGAAATAATATAAATATGAAAAAAACGGTATCGCGTGTTACCGACCTAATAAATCTATCGCACTCACGTCGGACTGATATGACACTGCGACGGCGGTGGCCGAGTTTTTAGTTTGACGGTGACGCGCATACATCAAGGATTTTTTTTCGTTTTCCCCGCACCGGGAATTGGCGAAAAAGCGACGGACCCCGCGACATAATCAGATTACCTCAGATGATTTATCGCCTCTCCGGCCCCCCATCCCCATATACATATTTATTACACTGCATTATAAATTATAATATTTAATATATTATTTATTCTATTTTCAATGTAAAAACGATTTTATATCATTCATTCGTAAATATAATATATTCCAATCGGTACCTATATATTATAATTAGGACCCGGATTTAAATGCTATATAGAAACCATCGAAAAATGCTCTAAAAAATACCGAAATAATGCTCTAAAAATGTACGTATATAATCATTTTTTTAATGCAATGGGTTTTTAGGTACATAACCTAATTTATAATTTTCAATAAACTTAAAATAATTATACCGACCATTTAAAAAAAAAAAAAAACAACTGGAATTTGAACAATTTTACCAACATTTGATTAATTAGTTTGATCAATTGATGCGGTTACGTATCATAGAACTATTGATTATCTCTAGACAATATTATAAATTAGTTACATACTGGCATATAATCAACGATATTACAGAAAAATAGAAAATTAATGTTTACAAAACAAACTATGTAGTTGGATAGCAATATAAAGCATTGTCTAAGACCATCCGTCATTCGATTTCTAACGAACGAAATACGCGCATCATATATTCATATATATATTAACATAAATATTATAATAACGTTAACTTGTCATTGTTGTATAATACGCACTCAGATACAGTATATGTAGATATGTACCTGTTATACCTGCCTACGAGTATTATAATACCTCCGACCTCACCGACTCTGTGCACCGGTTAGGTCCATCGGGATAGCCGAGACCAGCAGTAGCTATCATCGGTCCAATTATAATACGAGTCCCACGTCCTACCCACCGCCCCATCGATTTCGCTGTGCAGTGTTTTATAGTCGTCCGACGCAATCGGCTAATTATTATTAATCCCGTAATGGAGTAGGCGTATCCGGCCCTTCGGTATAATATGGTGGTGGTGGTGTTGTACAGGTATAATACTATATCTATATAATATGTGAGTATTATGTATAACAATATCGTTCGGGTCGATTTTGATTCGGTTAATTAACGTTTCCATTATTAATATTATTATATTATTCAGCCAAGCCGCCTCTGCCTCCGCACGGTCCCGACCTAATACATAATCACAACGTGCGTTATACACGCGCAATTTACCGGACAAATATGTACATAATAATATATATATATATATATAGAGAGAGAGAGAGAGAGGACAAGTGTGCGGTGCACGGATATTGTGTATATACATGTATACAACATTATTATATATAGGTAGGCCGCGTGTGCGCGTATTTTCCACGGCTATGGTACAAATACATTTCAGCTATATTATAATCGTATATTTACACGCACAATTTCCCAAAGTTTCCAGGCAATTACACTCACGATTTTTCAAACCCGAAAATATGAGAGAAATCGTGCTACATATTTTCATTTTGAGATATAAAATATATAAGGTACGTATATGTAGCCCCAGAAAATCCATCAATTTTGTATATTTTATTATTAAGTTTGTATAGGTACATCGAATTCGCATTCTCAATGCTATAATATTATAATGTAGGTAATATGTATTTGTTTTCAGTTAGTATGACATGAACAAAATATTTCTATTTCTATTGCACGTCGTTAAATGGACGTGGTGCTATTGATGGGGTGCGTAAGACCGTAAGGGGATGTACTTACTTACTATGTATATACCTACCTTTAAACGAAGACAAAAATGTTATTTAAAATGATTTTCGGCTTATGCTGACTTTTATGATTCACTGATGCCTCGTTATTACGTTTACAATGGTGTCGTGTGATTTTTAAACACGCTTGTCAAGTTTATAATAAACGATTTTCATTTATTTTATCTATATAATAACCTAGGTAAAAGGTCATTTTAAGGGTACGTGTAACCAGAAATTTCACACACACACACATACTGTTGTATTTGTATATTATATTTTTAGCAGATTAAACAGGGTTCTGAATGAGCATTTTTTTTAAAAGTTAATGGGCCACATTGTGTCCATAATAGTTAAACGGCGAGTTTTGATGGCCGCACGTGGTTTTTTGCCCAATTTAGCAGCGTGGTAAAATTTCTTCGAAAACAATTGCGCGCCAGCGTACATATAATAATATGTATATACAGTACAAACAATAGATAGATATGCGTCCTTTTCCGGTCTTATTTAATTTGTCCTGGGGTAGATTATTTTTTTTAATGACATAACCCGTTGTTACGGTATATTCACGTATATATACACACGACACGACGACGGTGGAGTCGGTGGCATCACGGAGGGAGGATGGGTTGGCGGCACAAAATGTAAATTAATACCGTCGGGGGTGCAGGTTAAAAAACTTTTCAACCGCACATTGCGCGCGCTTTTTATTCAAATGACAAACGCCCTGGAGAGCACTTGGCCCGCCTGTTTTAAATGTATAAAATGATGATAATAAAAACACGGGATGAAAAAAAAAAATGATTGCGAATGTGTTGAGGTGAGGGCACGTACAGCGAGTAAAAAAAAATCGTCTCCATTGCGCGTATATAAAAAGAGCAGTTTTCGTGTGTTTTTTTTATTTTTTATTATTATTATTAATACCAGGTCGCAGATTATGCGGTTTAATATTCACTTCCGAGAGCCGTTTTTAATTTTCATCCGATTTAATTTCCTTTAATACCTTGTGCTCGACGTCGTTAATTAATTTGAATGGAACATAAAAACGAAAATGTTAAATTAAAGCTGCCTTCAAATTCGTTTTATACCGTTCGTTACTCTTTTTATATTCCTATATTATATTTTATTACTGAGCTGTTTAATCAGATCAACTTGTTCAAAAGTCACGTTATCACTATATAGATATAAACCTTATTCAGTGTATATTTTTACTCTCCTACATACCTATTTAGGTATACTATACGCATACCTATTTATATATCATATAACACACGTATATACCAGCTCCCTCGATAGTACAGTCGGTGCGAATGGTCAATACTAAATTATAGGAACTATCGTAGTAGGTACATCATATTATAAGAACTTAATTTGTGTACCTTGAGTACCGACAGTAGAATCATGATAAAAATATCTGTTCCTATTGAGTTGATTTTATAATCCACGCATTACAATACCCATAGCTAATACCTAATGGTTCAATTAATATTGTATGTACCTAATATATTTTATATAAGACAAGCTATAGTGTGTAGCTATCTCTAGCAGATAATGCCTTTAAAACGATTATACATAATATGTTTAGGTGCCCATCCAGACCATCGACTCATATGTATAATATACGTATATCGATGGGCGATGCTGTGCGAGCGTAAAGTCCAACGAGGTGGTGGTCTGTAGTGGTTGGGGGTAGTGAGATGGGGGGAGACTATAAACTACCGTCGTCGTCGCCGTTATAGGATTGGCAACACTGTGAATTACCACTCCACTTGCCGTGCCGATTCCGCTCACAGCAGTTTTGATCTCGTCAGCTTGTAAAGCAAACCGTCCCCCCGCAATTAGTAGTATTATCGAACACGCTCGCGTGGGGATGGCGGCGGCGGCATTCGCAAGACGTTGCAAGATGTGACGCCGAGATTATTGCTGTATAACGTGGATGGTTTGGGAGGTGTAGAAGGGGTAAGCGCGCCACGGACTACACCGAGCGAGTGGTGGATGGCGGTTGCGATGGTGCAGGGGAGGCGTTATAGGGGGACGGCCGACGAGTAGGTGGTGGCGGCGGCAGTGGTGGTGGGCGCGCGCGCAGTCCAGATGGCGTCGTCTTAATGCGGTTATTAAAAACAAGACCGTCTAACGACCTTTGCAAAAGCCCGGGGGTTGATTAATGGCGAATACATGGACGCCTAAATACCGCGTAATTTGCAAATACACCGGCACAAACGGCCCCCGGACGGTCTTAATTACGGGCCGTTCCCCCCGCAAATGGTTTAACTTTATAATTAAAATCGCATACAGCGATATAATATAAAGTTTTAGCCCTTCCGTCTCCTCTCGCCGCCCAGTACCTATATATATATATACATAATAGGTATATAATATATGTATAGTCGTGTATCGCAGTATACGCGCCTGTATATACCTGCCTACCCGGTAAAAACCCCTTTCCTCCGCCTCCGGGACCGGCAAAGCCTACGAAATAATGGCCGTGGTCTTAACTCTTTTAATTATGTGGAAAACGATAATATTATTATATATGGTTTATACATATATTTAATTACACATATACAAACGCGAGCAGTATAAGAAGTATATATTATTATACGCACAATTCGCTTCCATAATCGTCGCACAACCACCCTCGCACGTCGCACTATATATAAGTGCTACTCTCCGCCGGTCATAGGCTGCAGTTTTTATTAATTCGTTATAATATACTGTCGTTAAACGCACACCTATATGCTGATAATGTAGATACACGATGTTTTTTTTTTTTATAAGAAAATTTACAATCTGTACAGTAAGGCACAATAAGTAAATATGATACAGGAATAGATTATACATAGTGATTAATTTGAGGAGATCAGCCACCCATTAGTGACACTTTCGTTTGGTAGGAAGATACACGTTGTAACGGACTTTTGTTTTAAAAAAAAAGATTTCGGCGTTTGACTATATTGCAGGATGTCCGCCTATTTGGCAACTATTTCTTACACCCTATACATATGTATTTTAATACCTAAAATTATATACTCGTATATATTATAATATCTAAATCTAACTCTTGTATTATTGTATCTTGTTCCAGGTGTGGTTCCAGAACCGGAGGACCAAGTGGCGGAAAAAGCACGCTGCCGAGATGGCCACAGCCAAGAGGAAGCAAGAAGAGGCGGCCGACGAGAGCGACGAAGACGAAGACATGCGTGACGACAGTGCGGCCAAACGGCTCAAAAGGGAATTGGCCGCTCACTACGGAGGAGGTGGAGGCGGCGGTGGTGGAGGTGGCGGTGGCATCGGTGGAAGTATATAGCATCAGGCTTGGCCAGGCGTCGGTCACCCTGGCACCTTGGACCTGAAGACTCACGAATAAGCCCGTCGAGATGCTAGTACTTGTGAGTACATCGATAACCACGTACGCTGTACAATTCCGACGATGATGATGATATTATTATTATTTGTACATTTCTATACTTATAAGTACACCCATATTTTATACATAACTTTATTATTATATATAGAACATACAATTTATGCCTATCCAAAACGTCTAGTCATCGCATAATTTTTTTTTTTAGGTATTTGTGCATACTATTGTTATTATATATAAAAATTTAGAGAGCAATATGATTACGGTATATTATAACGATAATAATATTAAGTATGGCGCCGTGCCACATGTATACTCCCCATAGGTCCTCATCATGTAATTATTACAATATAGAGGTATAGCCGACATTATGTACAGGGAGTATCGTGGTGGATAGACCGTTTTACATTTTTATTAATAGGTCAAATCTTCACCATATTTTCTGTATATAATATACTTGTATACAAAGACGTAGTCCGCGGTGTGTGCGTTTTGTTCTTTTTGTTTATTCGATGCCCCCCTACCTTATCTCCCCATTGTATAGTGTTGCCCGCCCACGCGTATACAACGCTTCGACGACGATCATTATTATTATTAATATTATTATTATTATTATTATTATTATCTCAATAATTAATATAATATATTATGGCCTTTATTATAGCTTTTTTTGTGCGCCGATCATTACAATATTAGATAATACAACACTTAAGTACTTGGTAATATTGGTACATATTATTATTATAATGTACCAACAAGTATGTATCATGTATATACAAAATACTAAAATAGGTAAATAAGTTTTTATGGATTTGTTTACGGCTTGTAATATCTGTTGTATAATAATATGTCGGGAGTAAACGGTTTTAATATAATATAATATAAGATAATATAATAATAACTTGTAATTACAATGTGAATATACTATGATATTATATCCCCCTTTAAATACGTTGTACATATTATATTTAATGATTGTTAATAATATTATTTATTTAGCGAAGGTACGTTTGGATAATCGTTTGCACTTATAAACACATGTACGGTTATACTTAATTTACCACTAAACCTTAAGTTAAACAAATCATGTAATCTTTAAACAAAAATAAGTGAAATGTTGATTTAAAAAGACATAATATTATTATATACATCGATGTGTTTTTTATTTATTTTTGACGATTAATACCTATACCTATTAAATATTTGAATGCAGTATTATACAATACCAATACCAATAATCATTTTTGTTTTTGCCTTTTTGTAAATGGCACTATATGACGTACAGCAAATAATTCACGGTGAGTCATTTTGTCACCTATACTTATTTTCAACTATAAATCATGTCATGTTATGTATTCGTGAACCAAAAAACTAATAATTTACATATTCAACGCATAAAACATGATCTATACCCATACATGATTCAATAAATCTTTTTAAAAAGCATAATATGTATTTATTATGTTGTGCGTATAATGTATATATGGTATGTAGCAGCGTTTCTCAACATGTGATACACGTACCACTAGTGGTATATGGTAAGTGGTACACTGGTACAAGAAGAAAATCTCTCTTTATAAAAAAAAAAAAAATTGTCAATGGATCAAATATAAAAGTAATAATCTCACACTATATTTCATTTTGTTATTGTGCATAACTCTGTGATTACAAAATAAAATAAAATTACAAACATGTAAAATAAGGTCAAGAAGTACATGAACATTTTTAAATTGTGAAGGTGATGTGCTGTACTCAGATATAAAAGGTTGAGAACCACTGCAAAGTATAGAAGTAGGATGTAGACATTATATGGCATATCGGCTATAATCAAAATAGTAAGTGGTAAACCTATTTGTTCATAAAAACTACAACTAGTTCAAAACTATTATTTAGAACTGTTCAAGACTACAGTCTACGACGGGTGGTGAGTACGATTTGGTTCACAAGTAGGTACCTAGATGCGACTATACTATCATTTAATTTGTCTATACAAACATTACAAACAATACTCAAAAGTAATAAATAATAATAGTTACAATAATACTGTCAAATGTCAATACTTCAAAATTAGGTACTTCAACTTTATTAGAATACAAAATAAATATTATGTAGGTACTTCATAAAATTTCGATTTTTCAGTCATTCAATATTTAATGTTATCTTTCTTAGTAGCATATTTACATAATATAATACATTTATAATGAACTCTAAATTTAGTCAACGCCATTTAATGCGACATCGTCAATCGTCGTAATAATACACAAAACACCAACAGTCACCTCTTTATACAGAACCGACTAAAATGTAAAACAAGTTTTTATATTAACGCAAGTAAACTAAGTTGGGTACTAAAAAAAACTGAAGTTTTCCTAAACAATTTTATGGATTTCATATACTGTTATATCCAATCCAATAACCGAAAACACGAGTAAATTGATCCATAGGATTCTGTAGCTTTTCAATACAATGTATAACCCTGTTAGTATAATAACGATGTGGGTTTTTATTTATTTATTTTTAACTCAAACCATCGATTTGATAGTTTATGGTTTAAAAGTTTTAAAGAATTCATTCGTCTCTAAATTTATTACATAATATATTCTTAAACTAAAAGAATAATAATTTTATTATGATTAAAATGCTACAAACTAGGATAAAATAAAGTCAATCTTAAAATAGTAGAATAATCTTACCACCTAATATAAATAGTACCTAATTATAATTTTAAATTATATTATTAAATAACAGAATGTTTTACCATTCTTGTTATAGACTATAGTATAGAATATCAATAAACCCAAGCTTAAAAAGTTCTTGATATACCTACATAATTATAGATACGGGTGATTAAATCTTATCAAATAATTTACATACTTAGGATAGCTGATAGGTTTAACACGGTGTTTCCGAATTGCGGACAAAGTGACAAAAACCATGTGAGTTGCGGACGAAATCTAAAAAGGTAACATACGAATTGCGGACACAAATATAAGATACTAATTGCGGATAATGTTACAATATTCACGTGGTGAAATCAGTAGAATATCATATATACAGGCTGTTTTAAAAAGTATGACGATAATCTATAAATATTTTATAAACAATTTTTTACACAAAATTAAAACAATCAATAATTCAACAACATTTTAAAAATATCGATTGCTCTTTTGCAAGACACAAATATTTTTAACCCCACCTACCAATTTTTTTTAGCTACTGTCATAAGTCCTGAAAAAGTTGAAAGGGAAATATTTGTGTCTACAACTAACGTAGTTTTTATTAAAAAAGCTCTGTACGCAATTAGTATTATGACAACGAAACTCGTGTCCGCAATTGTTATATTATAATTCCTAACATGAATAATTCGTCCGCAACTAGTATGTGTCCGTTTAACAAAATAATATTAATACACAAAAAAATAACTTACACTAAATGATTTTAAAGTCTTCAAATTCAAAATGTTTTCATTAAGAAAAATGTGCTCCGTTCCTACACTAAATATTTTTTAGTTTTACCTTATAAAATATAAACAACAATTTTCTTCACTTTTAATAAAATATCCCTATTAGAAATAAAAATATAGCTAATAAACGTTGTTTATGTCTTTTATAAAATTTTCAAATCTGTGTTGGAAAGTACTTTTGCAAACTACGAAAGTTAAATTAATTTATTGGTATATTTTTATATTCCTCAAAAATTACCTATTTCAAGAAACTAATTTATTATTTGTAAAACAATTTGTATTCTGTACAACATATAAGCACGAACTTAAAAAACAATTAAATGTACTCATACATTAAAATACAGAAAACACAAGTTATATAATTATATATAATAATATAATTTTGACCATATAGGCGCCAGGTACACGAGTGCCCGGGGGCTCAGGCACCCATTAAAATTATTATGGGATGCTGGGCTCCCATTAGAATATTGAAAATGTATAGCACTAGCGTGTATTTATATCCAAGTTTCAACAATTTTAGGAAACGACTATTGAAATAAAATTCTAGCTCTGATAAAAATTGCAATTTTGAAATTTTAAAAACAAAAATAAATTGTATTGATAATAAAATTTAAGATAGCAAAGTTTTGGTAATCACTAACCTACATCGTGGTAGATATTCAATTACAACTGAGGTATCCATCAACAATCTATGGCTAATGAGACAAATTACAAAATTATTGTTATTTTTACTGTTTCGGTATAGTCTTGTACTTCGGAATGATCTTTTTTGGCACTTTGAAGATTAAAAACATTTTTAAGGTCTACAATGGAACAAAATCGCTAACGATATTGCTTTATTGCATGTCCGTCGTAATGAAGATGTAGATATTGATAAAATAGCTAACTCATTTATAAATTCAGCTATAATACTTCAAAACACATTTATTTTCTGAACAGTCAAATTAAATTTATTTTATTTTTTGTTTTACCTATTATTATTATTATTATTATTATTATTATTATTTATAAATAAGTTATCAATTTGGTAAAATTTTGGGGGGTTAAATTGAAACTAGCCCCAATGAAAAGTCAATTCCATTTTTTAAATTTTACGGGGACATTGTCTTGACCAGTGGCTAAGCCCCCTCCCTAAAAAATTGTGCATTTATGCCTATGATACCAAAGCACCCATTAAGTTTCTTAAAACCTGGCACCTATGTTTGGACTATAGAAAGTTAAAAAATATAACTTGGGAATACGTATGTTTAAATGTAGAATTTTTACATTTATTCTATAAAATTGAGTTAAACACACATAATATGGCGCAGAAAAATTAGTGCTGTAAAGCATTACTCACACACTATTATTAAGTTGTTGAACACTTGAACCTAATACGTATTTTCTCACTCTCTCAATCACTTTATCACTCTCTCCTCTCTTTGACGACGTGAATCATAGCAAATTTAGGTTCAGCAGAACCAATCTTATATGGTCA